CTGACTGGATAAAGCCATGAGTAGCCTGGTCTGATCCCATTGCTGATCCTCATTTCAGGAGGAGGTAGGACTACAGACTTCCCGAGCTGCTTTCCAATGTGAATGATCCGCTTGATCAGGTGGTCATCCATGCTTTCTTCTTCGAAATAGGTACAGGCACAAACTGATGAAAGGATACGGTCAGGGAAAAAAGTTTTGTTTTCCTTTCCTAAAATTTTTTTTTTACAAACACTTTCCATTTTTAAATTATATGTAATTCTGAAAATTCAGTTAGGCAAATTGCATCTGGTGCACATTTTGCTAGGAATAATGGGAAATTCTGAAAATTCATGCTGTTGCTACCTTAATAGATGTTAATTGGAAGGGAGAAATGGTAAGAAAATATATTTAGCGAAGGGAAACAATGACCTTTTATAAAAATGATCCCTCACTTGATATAAAATTACTGTATTCTAAATCAGTATCTCACTTTTGTGCATTATGTTCTTAAACAAAACCGTTCTATACTTCATTTCAGAATTAACTACAGTGGGCTTCCGAGAGGTTGGCTACTGATTGCTTGCCTTACTTATTAAATACAACTTAAGCTAATAAGGAAAAATGCAGTTTAATTTATAACTTTTTTTTTTAAGTCTTGAATATTCTAACTTGCTGGCCTCTTCCATTGTAATCTGTTTTGCTTGCACAGGTTGTGTACCACAATGGTCCTCTTCTAAGCTTTGCATATGTGCTCAATGACTTATAATTTGTCATAGCCATTATGTTTCACATTATGTTGCCTATAACTGCAATGTGATCTATTCATACATTATATTTGTTCACAATCACAAGGATGTCAACATGTTTGTAAAGCTGTCTTGGAAAGATGACTTAAACCTCTAGCCAGTATTGTGATACTGGTAAATGCAAAGTGGTGCTGAGTGCTTGGCCAAGTTTAATTTGAAGGCCTAGTACTGTATACTTAAAAGCAAATATCTCTGCACAGTGTTTCAGCTGCTTTTCTTACAGCTTAGTTTAGCAGAGCACAATGATACAAGAGTGAAGACTTGAAAAGGAAATGGATTTTTTTTATTTTCTGGTCAGGCATGACATAAGTAAATATTTTGAAATAAAAACATCTAAATCCCCAAGCAGCTATTATTTTATGAAGTATCTCTGTTGCGATTTCATTTTTCCTTAATAGCCATTGTTTCAGACTTTTCTTCTTGTAGGCTTCAGTTTTTATGAGGACACATGTTAGGTTTTCGGTTGTGCTTCAGGGAAGGAAAAAGATGAACTCTTTGAAGGTAGAGGTGAATGACTGAGCATTAGGAAAAAGACTGTTTTCTAACCGTTTCTCTGTGTTTTTTACTATTATTTGGGGGCATTGTTGTCTCTTAACATTAGCAGGTAGTGCCCATTCCCTGTGAGCCTGTGGTAGTGTTTTGGCCCTGGCGTTATTCTTGCATTAACCCCCAACCACTCTTTCTATTTTCTACTGATGTGCATCTGTTACCTTGCATAGCCATCCACCTGCGGTGACTTTGGTCTGAAGCCATCACACTATTACCCATTGAGTACATACTTTTGATTTAATTGGGAGTTAATTGTGTGACAGATGCACGTAAGTAGGGATTGCAAAGAGTGTTTTGAACGTGCATATGTTAAGAGAGTGCTGGGTGAATATATTCAGTTGTACACTTACTTGGGTCCCGCTGCCACTAGCTTGATAGGTCTTTGGAGAAGACAAGATCAGAGCTGTTCTCTATTAAAATTTCAGTGTGCTTGCATGACAGAAAGAAAAGAAAATGCCTCATTGCATCTTTCAGCCATTTTTCAGTATTTGTTTCCAAAGAAGCGTGAGAAGAATAATAGACTGTGAAATGCAGTTTGAGTTTCCATTTGCAATGATGTTTCTTAATGAACATTACTGCATTCCTAGAACCTTTCCTAAAGGTCTACAGGAGGAGCTGTTTGAGTGTACTGTATGCAGAATTGCTTTCCTATTCTGTTTCTCTGGGGAGCTTGCTTGGTACCTTATCGCTGAAGGGTCCCCTTTGTTAACTTGCTCAGCCTTTCTGAGTGGGATCTATGGCAAACTGTACCCATCTCAATCAGTACTGCTGTATTCCCTCTTCAGCACTAATGCTCATCCAGTCCGATGCAGAGCCTATGGAGCTTGCTAATCCAGGCAAAAAAGAACCCAAAATAACAAAAAAAGAAGTTAACGCTTAGTAGGTTGGCCTTCTGTCAGGTTACCAAGTTGGACTGGCTCACCTCGGGGCCAAATATCAGACTGGCTGTGCTGGTGTGAAGGAGGCAGAAGGAGGATCTGTGCCTTACCAGGGATGGTGGCAAAATTACAGCAGCTCCCCTTCACTCACGTTGGCTTAAATTCATTGCAGTGCTGTATGCCCTCAGTTCTTTTGTGCCAGCTTGGGCAAATAATCATCCATAAGGTACAGCAACCATTTCACTTGCCAGTATGCTTTTCATCTGTCACTCTGTCTTCAGATAGTGCTTCTTTAGGTTAATGTAAAGTTTTATGAAGATATCCATATATTCTCTGCCACTGGCATTTTGATCTGTGCCTTTAAATGGTACATGATTGGTTTTGGGGTTTATGCTTATCGAACTGAAAATACACACTACTAGAGTAGCTGCTGAGCTGGCCAGTCTGTTCATCAAACAGAAGATCTTTGGAGTAGTGCTTTTTAAAAAAAACAACAACAGATATATGTCAGAATGAACAAGTTCTTTTCATAGTACGTGTATCTTTACTACATGTTGCTAGACACATTACTGTACTTTCAGAAGAGCTCAGTTGTTCATGGACTTGCAGCAATATCACAGCCCTAATGTTAGTATTAGCTTTTAGTACATACTCAGTTCAGAAACTCTTGAAATGTAGAGGTATTGAGGTTTAGAATTGACACTGCTCACAACTGTTGTTGCATATAAAAAGCTGTTGTTTAAAAAAAAAAACCCAAAAACAAACTTCCACTTTGTTTATATCTTGACTTAACACTTTCATATTTTTGAAAGAATTTGAGTGTTGGCGAAATGTTCCCCTGGCACCTCTCAATGGGGAAGAAAGGGTGTTTTACAGTCATTACAGTATTACAGTACTGGGTTTGAGCTTTGAGTTCAGCTCATCCTCACTTTAAATGATATATTGAATCTAAATGTAACCTTAGTAAAGAGTAGTACCAGGATATAGAGCTAGTGTTTGAAGTGTATTTTGAGAATATGGGGATGTGTTGATTTAGTTGTAGAAACAAGTTTGTGTTCAAGCCTTTGCAAAATAACTTCATTTGGGTGTTAATGTTCATAAAGGTTTAAAGAAACGGTAAAAGGAAAAAACAGTGCAACTTTCTGACTATAGTTAAAAACTTGGTCTAATGATGTTTTCTAGGTACATATCTTTTCTTTCTCAACAACTGTTGGGTGTAATGAGAGGAAGAAAGAGAAAATGGAACAATTAATGCACCATATGTACAAAACAAAAAACAGTCTGTAGGGGTTACACTGAACAAGAATTTGTTTTAGTCCCATCTATCTTTTTTATGTAGATAACATTTACTCATTTGTATTGCATTTTGAAAGACTTGTACCCAGTAATGGATACTTGCTGGTTGTTTTTTCTTCTTTTAAGCTAAAAAAATAATGTATATATATAAGGTCTTTCTATCTTTTGGAAACCCTTCCTTTCTTGCAGAAAATATATGTTTCTGTATGGTTTAACCCTACATATGTATATGAGGTGATTTGAAATTCATCCATTATCAAGCAACAAAATTACACTACATCTTAATGATTTGGAGATGTTTCCTTTCTAGAAGAAGTAAGCAGCTTCCCCTTAAAATCTTGCTAGGACAGCAGCTGCAAAGGAGAATGAGCTTCCATATTTAATACGTTCTATTATCTTCACACATACAAACACACACTCACTCACTCACTCACCCCAGTGTCACATTATAGGTGAACAGGCCCTAATTAAAAGCGCGCACCATCTGCCGGTGTGTGGCAGCAGGGTGGCACTCCATAACCATCTCGATTCCTGTGATTGAAATGTTTTATTTATGAGCTCAAAAAGAAAATATGCTGCTTGGCTGGTGGAGGCTGCATTAGGAGCTGGGTAGCACCATCTAATGGTACGGAGTGCCGCTGGCTGTTCATCTTCCCTCTTCTTCCTCTGCCCTCCTCAGTCTCCTCCCCCAATATTTTTATTTTTCAACATCGTCTTTGGAGTTTTTTTATGATTGTATTTCAGACAATTTTGTCTCATGTCTCACTTTTATACAAGATTGAAAATATTTGTAGAAATATTACGCTATTTGTGGTGTTTGCAGCAGCCTTTTTTCCCTTTATGTGCCGCACATAAGGTTTTACTTTCTGTGGTAAAAATGATGCTGATTTGATGTGGTGGTATACAAGTGGGTGTTATCCAAGATAGCTGACCAGGATCAGTTTCCTGGCATTTACTGGCATTACACGTCCCAAGTGCACGTGTAACGAAAGTATCTACTGCTCAGTCTGAAAATTTTATTTTAATGTTGAAATTGGCCCTATTTTTTATTGAGAAGTACACTACAGACTGCATAAAGGTTCTTTACTGGGTTGAAAAGAAAGGGGAGAGATTCAGAGAGGGCTGCAGCTTTGGACCTTCCTCTCTGAAAGCAGAGATCATAACCTCTTCTTATTTGCAGAGATCACATCCCGTTATTGCTTCGTAGCAGGGAAATGGATGAGGAGGTGTTGGACTGAGGGGTGAAATATGCTTTGTCAGGAGAGGAAGGGGTGACAGGGAAGGAGCCCTTTTTGTTATGGTTGGTCCATCAGTCTATCTTTGTTCACTGCTAGATTACAAAGTCAGAACTAGTAATAAGATATAATGTATTTAGTTATTAGCTCAGTGACCTTTAGAGTATGCAGAATAAGAATAGTGGCGCGGATTCAAAATTATTTGGGGGGTCATTTTTTGGTTCTTAGGCTTTTTGTTATGTTCTTGAGCAGTATCCATGCCGGGCATCCAACAGTGTGTTTATAGCAACAACAAGCAGTAAGACTGCACTGATATGTGAAATATGCAGTTTTTCTACAATAACCTCCAGTAAAAACACTTTTTTTCATTAAAGAATCTGGTTACTGTTTCAACTCAGGCAAGACAAGACCCTGAATAAAAAGATATATGTATAAAACTGGGCAAAATATGTGTGTCTCTGTGTGTGTATGTGTATTGATTTTTAAAAAGCAGCATGTTTTAAGAATGTTGCAATGTCATGAACTGTGGCACATCTATGACTACACACCTTCTTATTGTTTGTGTTTAGAATGTATGCCATCAGAAGGATAAGAGATGCCTTCAGAGAAAACAAGAATATAAAGGATTCTGAAAAAATAGAAGAACTAGTCAATAAAGCCAAAGCAAACCTAGAGATTATTCATCGACAGGTATGTTTATTTCTCTCATTTTATCTAAGAGTTGTACACTCCTCAGTTAACTGTCTTATGTCACTACAGATGGAAAAAATACACCCTTGCTCAAAACATCTCCGGATGAACAGTGGTTTTTGTATGTCTGAGTTTGAGAGGGTGGGAAAGATCTATTTATCCATGGGGGTTGCAGTAGGGGATTTAGGGATGTTTCTTCCATGCTGTTGAAAGTGTATGTGCTCTTCCATTACCTTTTCTGCTGTTTTACTATCTCTTCACTCTGCTGTTTTGTTCTGCTCAGATTTTCCTTTCGATCTGTTTCCTCTAGCTCTTGTGTATTAGATTTCTTTCCTCACGCTTTCCTCCTTGCATCATAGATTTAGAAGAGGGGCTGGGACACTCACTCCAAATAGTCTTGCCTTTTGTGTTTGTTTTTCTTCACCTCCAGATACAGTGTTAGAACAGTAGCAGAACAAGAAAATCCTGAAGTGAATTAAGTAAATGCTGGCTACATGTCCAAGCAGGCTGATAGATTTTTTTCTTTGGAAAAAGTTGAGTCACTGGCAATATTTTTCTCTGACCTTGTCTGAGTAGCATTTATAGCATCTCTGTTCCTTCCACTGGGTACCATATTATTTAGGCATGAATTACACTTTGTTGAACTTTAGATACTTTATTACTTCTCATATATACCCGCTGTCTACCTACAGTGACAACTGGAAATTTGAAGAAAGCAAGCTTCTACCACCTGAACTCTCTAAGGGCACTCACAACGCTTAAGCTGTCCCTCCTTGCAAAATCTGCACTTACTGACACTGGTCAGAGCTCAATAGTACTTTTAATAAATATCGAATGAATATGTGTACCTGTTCCTCCATGGTCTGTTTTAACATAAATCTTTTAACAACCAGCAGGTCAGTTAGTTGGATTCTTATTTCAGTAGGAAGCTGAGCCATTTGATTTGGCAATTAAGTATGAATATTTTGGTGCAAGCTAAATTATTTCTTTGGAATTTCTACTCCCAGGAGCAGGTGTTGTTTTGTGCTACCATAGCTTTGCTATCTTTTTTTAACCCAAACACTGCTATTTTTGTGTTTTAGAACTGTTTCTCAAAGAAGCAATTTGGATTGGATTGATTCAATGCATTTATATTTAAATGTTGGGGTGTTTTTTCTCGTATCTGTAGGTGATGAGTAACATTTTCAGCTCTTTTTGAGGTTTTATCTTGGAGAGCCTTGATACCCAATATTCTCCAGGGAAGTATTAGAGGCTGGAGAAGACAATGAAGGAGGGGGTGTCACAGGAGAAGAGTCAGACATCACTCAGGCAGATCTGAGATAGTAGTTAGTTTTTTGAGTTCTAATCAGTAAATTTAGGTATGTAAAATATGTAACAGATGGATTGGGGGTCAATACGCTGCTATTTACTACACTTAAAGTTACTATGGCTTACAAAGGTTATCGCTTAAGCTTACTGTACGTATCTTAAATGTTACATGGATGCAAAAAATGTCACTTACCAACCAATCAATGTTTGGTGTCAGGTAAGGGATCCCCCATCCTCGAGGGTTAAGCTTGAGAGGTGCCCCTACTCAAGGGGAGATCGCCGCCACGCAGCCAGCTGCTATGGAGGGAGAGCTCAACGGACCCTGATGGCTGCAGATACTTAGAGCGTAAAGTGGTTGATTTGTAGTCAGATTTTCTGCGGTGTTAATGCAGTTTCAGCCACTTATCAACCCAGTCTCCAGCCACACTGGGTTTTTTGGGGGTTGGTGCTAAGTTCTCAGTGATAGTCTCACACAATAGGATTAATTTCGGTTAGGTCTACTTGCTGAGCATCTGCCTGGACCAAAGTTCAGTTAGCTGAAACAGGAGGAGTGCATCTGTCACAGGCGGTGGCAAAAGTGATGAAGACACGAATGTGCATGGTCAAATTCTGCCACTTACAGAATTCTGCATCAAAGAAATAACAAGCTGTGGATGTGGGATCTCCCATAGTAAAATGCTACAGAAAATCTTTTCTAGATTGTGGCGGAGATAAATTCCTGTCAGCATGTCAGAACATCCTCTGTGATGGCTGTAAGTAAGAATGTAAACCTTATGTCTTTGATAATTAGTGAGGCTACCACAGTAGCAGTTTTGCCATGAAATGTATGACTGAAGTGGACTAAATTTATTTTTGTTTTAAAATGTCTTAATGAGGACCTACTTGGCACAACTCTTACAGCAAATACTTCCTTTTCAGAAAAGAGTTCAATTTCAAGGTATCAAAGTACTTGAAATAGGTGGGAAACATTGTTCCTGCTTTATAGTTATGTATCTGCAATGCTGAAAAGAGGACACTGATTTCTAGTACCTTAGTGTTCAGGGTACCCTGACTTGGTATGGGTAGGATTTGGCTCTCACTGGTTTTATGAGCCTAAATAATAAAAGGCAGTTCTAATTCAGATGGTGGGTAAGTCTTGCTAAAGCACAAGCTTTCCACCTTTTCTTTTGACAAAGCATGGTTCTACTGCTGGTTCTACTGCCTCATCTGAGCCATAACAGCTCTGGGACAGATTTCAAAATAAAACTCCTCTCTCCTGTCTGAGTCCTGTGAATGCACAGATTACCTTGTTACTATAGTCCCTGAAAAAAGAGCATTTCTCTAAAACAGACTCTTGACAGGGCGGACTCTTTTCCTTCTAAGGTGTGGGTCTTGCACCTTTTATGAAGTTTCATTTTAGCCTAAAGATTGTCCCTCAGCATCAGATAGGTCTTCTAGCTGCCTTGGAAAAAGTAGGAAGAGCAGGCAGGTTTGGTTAATCTCTCACTAGTATACCCACTCACTGTCCTTTGTAAAGGAGTCGTCAGCCTTAAGGACATTTTACATTCATTGGTTGCTAGTGAATGTTTTGATCATACATAAACATATACATGTTCCTGTACGTAACAATTATCTCTAACAAGCCTGTATGTGAACAAAAGCCAACTGTTTCATGTACTGGTCTGTATTTTGCACTGTTAAAAATGTTGTGCATTTAATTCATCACTCAAGAAAATGACAGCAATAAAAGCTTAGACAAGACTTGTTATTTTCTCTTAGCATGGATTCTGCTGTTTTCATTAAACCAGCAGAACCATTTTAATCTGCTACCTTTTCTTTTTCCATTTTGCTACCTTGTAGTAATGGCAAAGAAATTTTATAAGAAATCTTTCTTGACTCAAGATTGAGAGAAGTCATTGAGAGCCACATTTTGCTCTACCACGTAATACATAAATCTTGCTTTAAAATGTTTTATATGTAGAGTGTGAATTTTTCATCTGGGAAGATGTTCAGAAGCAAAAAGGGCATGTAGGGTTTTAGTTCCCTGGAATAGCTTTGCTTGAATTTCCAGAATATGAAAATCTCTCCATGTATGTTTTAGTTTTGCAAACATGGAAAACTAGTATTTAATACAAATATCTTAAATATATTATAATCAAACTGTTGTCAAGCAAACAACATTAAGTCGTTAAGTACCTATCTTTCTGTTACGCGTTTGTTACTTGGAGGGTGACTTTGTCACTGGGACCTACCAGAATAACGCAGAATGTCCTCAGTTATTGCCAAACCTGCAGGGTTTTGCTTGTTTGTTGTTTCAAATCTCTGCTATTTAAGGGGTTTGGCCCACATGCAAAACCAATCTGCTAAAGCTGAAGTAGTTTTAAGTTGGATCACATTTTGGTATCATTCCATGTAAGAATTTCAGGAAAAATATACTTGAAAAGTAAGGAATATTAAAGAGTCTAACATAACTTCCCGTTTTTAACAGTGCTAAAACTTACATTGAAGCATCTCTTATATGTCGCAATGGAACTTTTTAAACAGAAAATAATCTGATAAAAGAAAATTAGTTTATCAAGATTATTTTTTGACATATGTGTTCCTGCAAGACTTGATGTTTGGGTAATAAAGATTTTTTTTTTTTACTGAGTCATTCCCTCCCCCCACCCCACCCCCCAAAAAAATGTTTTTCTAAAAAATTGAGAACTGTTGTTCGTTGCAGAATTTCTATTATGTTTTCATCTCACTTGCAACCGTAAAGCAAGAGATAAGTATTGGAAAAACAGCAATGCTGTCTAAAAGTAAGCTTTTCATCAGGACTATTAAAAACCTTAGCATCCAAATTCATATTAATATTTACTTGCTGTCAAATTTAATCATGCTCTGTGGAAAAAATTCATTCTTGCTCCCTGTTTAATTGAAGATCGAAGTAATGAAGTCATCTGACATTATTAAGACTTTATATTTAAAACTAACCAAGCATAATATAAAGCGATTTTATTTTTAAATGCAGGAGCAGTGAAGCAAGCATGAGATCTAGCATACATTTTTTTGCTAAGTTTGGGTTTTATTATGATGTAGCGCATCTTAGTATTGCTGACTTTTTCATAGTGTGTCAATAGAAATTAAATAATGACCCGCTTTGCTTACAATTTGTTGTTACTCTAAAATCAAATTTAAATTCACTTTACATTCTAATTTATGGTTTAGTCATCAAAGTGACCATTGAAGTGTAAGGTTCATAAATAACTATTTGAATCAGCCTAGTGGGAAATGTGAAATAGTGACAGATTACTGTCATTTTGTTCATGTCAGTCACTGTACAATTTGCGTGAATGTTGTAAAAGTAGCTCTATAAAGCTGAAAAGCATGGAGGAATATTAATCTCTGCCTTAGTCCTCCTCTGCTTGTTATTGGTTTCAATTTAAAAATAGTCTGGCTAAAGGAACAACTCTGATGCTTTTCTCAACACTGTTTGTGAAGCTTTTTTTTGTGTGTTTACTGTGTAAACAGCACAGTATGTGGTGTCTTCCCTGTAAAGAAGGGCATTGTGAGAAATGCATTGTCACAAGGAAGTTTGAAATAGAAAGTTTTAAAACATTCTGAAGCTAAATCTTGAGGTCCTTTGAGGATTATCCTAACAGCCATTCCCCAGCTATGCTAGTATGACTTCATGTGTGAGTTTCTGTCGCTATTGGAATATGTTAGCGGTA